TCCTATTACCCTTCCGTCCCCTCCGTCCAACCTATCTCCCGTCCGCGCGTTGACGTCCAATAGGACATAGTCTACACACATTCTTTGGAAGGGATCCTCCGCACGAGACTGTCAAGTTTTCCCCAGAACACGCGCTTGCTGTCGGCGGTTGAAGGTTCCGTTGGAGCATACGCGGCTACGAAGTTGACCGCTCCACGGTGGCCTGCCAACAGAAACCTCATGGCCATAAGGCGTTCGTCGATAAACTCCGTAGTGAACGTGGATGTCTTGCACAGTGACTCTTTGACGGCTATCCCCACACCATGGACTCCACCAGCCTCCGTGCCACAGCAGAACACCCGGAAACCCGCTGCTGCAAATTCCGTTCGACCTGCCCTCCGTGTCTCCTGCATTCGTACCACCGATACGTCTTGTCTCGCTGCCTCGTGAAGAACGCTGTAGGCTCGCCCGTATCCATTGGCCCCGTTTACAGCAAAAGTCCGCACATTCCAGGTTGCTACCCTAAGAAGTTGACCCTGCTGTCTCTTTCGCGCGGCGCGCGCTGCTCTCTTAGCTAGCCTATGCGCCGCCCGACCCCCCCTTTTCCTCCATCTTCCTCCATTTGTTTTTTACTATTTTCTTGCGAACACTCGGGCTAACGTGACAGTTACCCCGGTTCTTGCCTTGTTTCCCATAGAGTTGTCTTCTTGTCCCGGAGCGGTGTGGCCCTCCATCTCTGGACTCTCTCCTTTCCTCTTTCTGGGGCATACCCAACGGCGTGCGGCCACTCCGCCACCCTCACCGTGCTCTCTGCTGCTGCATAGCCCCGGTGTCCAAGCCGGGGCGTCAGGATCCAGTCTCATATTGCAGCTACCAAAGCTGGCGGCTAAGGAGCTACCCCGATCTCACGACAGCAGTAACTCCCAACCGCCAAACTCAGGATCCCCCTCTAAACAGTGCTAGGGACCGTATAGCCGTCGTTGCTGGGTGATCTTTCGAGGTCTAGATCCACTTGCGGAACCTCGGCCTACCTCAGGGACTGGGGGGGCAAGCCGGGGAGGAGTCCTATACATTCACCCCAAAGACAGAGACTTTTTTCTGTTTCCCTCCACAAGGTTCGTGCAACAAGCAGTCTCCACATCCCTACCACGAGCAGCAACCCTCTACCGCCGTATGAGCCCGACGTCGCGGTATGGCCGTCTCAAGAAAAAGTATTGAGAAGCAACTTACTTAGGACGAATCGTCCCCGTTATCGTCAACTCCCAGAACAAATTCTGCTGAGAACTGGCGAACTACGCGAAACCTGCGCCTCGGAGGTCGTGCTGCACCCACAATGACTATATGTAACTTCTCTTTCATCACAAACAGAGTCAATCGTATTCCCCACCACCCTCTTCCTCCTTCGCTCCGCTGGTCCAAATACTCGTACGAGCCGAAAACATTTCGGCCGTGCATACTGGATACTATGGTCGCACCATCTGGTGTTTTCTTGTGACAACGTCCACATGTTTTCTAAAAGAGCTCTTTTGAAGTTCGTCCATACAGTGAAGACTGTTCTATCCCCAGTTGTTGTACAACCTCTGCGCTCTTCAATTTGTTCTTTGGAGAGAGAAAATTGCCCGACCATCAGCCCTTAACATTGTGAAGTCGCATGGCACACGTGCCTCATAAAGCCGAACCAACGCGTTTCATCGAGGAAGTGGCCCAAACGGAATATTTCGAACAGAACACCCAAACTACCAGAAACAGTCCACTATACTAGCAGTGCTGAAGTAGGATCAAGGCCAAACAGGGGTCACACCGAAGTCGTGTCTAGATGCAGCTTGCCTAAACATGGCATACAGACTACCTGCGTTTTCGAACAAGCAAGAGGTGTACCATGCACCACCCGTTGCAGCACCAGTTTCGCTGACTCTGTCCCGCTCTCCCTCACGCACGAAAGACGCACGAAATAACAAATCGGGATGGGTTACGTACAGTATTTCGGACGGAGTCTAACGTTGATTGAGCGGTTCCACTACACGCAAGATAAGTCATCAAAAAGGAACAGTCGTCACGCGGCGGCCATGGTAAAGACGTGATGAAGCATGAAGGCACGAACAAAGCCGGGCACGACTGCGGGGCGCTTGCTCTTGAAGGTGGCTTCCAGAGTCAGGGCTGACTCATCCTGCAGCAACTCAGCCAGGAACCAGGCGCCGGTTCCGTTGGAGGTGGCTTCTTTCGCACAGAATAGGACTCGCATCAGCCCGTCCACCGTGCCCGCTGCCACCACCTGCGTACGAACGTCAACCGATGGCATCCGTGTCATATTGGTCGCCGACGGAGAATCCGGATTTCTAACGGGTTATTCAGCCCACCCAGTTGTCGCCACGATGAGCCTGCCGGCCTGTATATATACTGCACCGGGAACAACAGATACAACTAGACGACCGTGACTCATTGTCGAGAGAGAGTTGGAGAGACAAGCTCATCACTTTCACCTGAAAACCCCTGTCGTTGAGGTGGCGAACCACCGTCGTCTGTGGTACCGATTGCGTAATGTGGGTTTGGAACTCGCCCTGGGGCTCGAACGCGCCCCATAGTCGCTCGAACGCGTGCGGCATCATCACTTCGTCCTCGCTCACGGCTGTTGTGGTGTTGAGGGATGTTGGAGCAAGGGAAAAACACGCCAAAGTTTCAGCAGAGAATGTGAGCTCATTTCTCCTTTTTCTGCTGGAACAATGGGGTGATCTTCGTTGTCAACGTCAAATTATCGTAGACAAGAACTTGGCACATGGGCGTTGTGAGTTCGCGGCAGAACCCTACGTGGCTGACGTGGCTACGCTTTGTCCCCGCCCACGAATGTCTAGGAAGGAAGGTGCTATGTTCAAGCTGTGCATTTTTCACGTCAATTCCTTTACCTAGCTTCTGCTATGAAGGTTCGCTTGAAGCACGGCCCCAAGAAAATTCCCTCTCGCGGCAAGGACATCGGAACTATCGTGGCAAATGACAAGTTTTGAATCTGTACCCCATGGACCATAGGTTGCGTCCGAGAAGCCGCTGCAAACAAACTGCGACCGCCGAGGAAAGTTGGAACCCTTGAGGGAGTCCGATCCTATCGCCGTCACGACTTATCTTGTCGGTTGTGCGACCACCATGTGTGATTGTTATTATGGAGGGAGGGCGTGTTGTTCAGTACGACGCACAATGCGGATATTTTTGGTGCCGTTGTACCTTCTATCGCTGCCATCGTTTCACGATCAGCTCGGCAAGGGGCATCGACAATCAGCTTTGGGCTACATCATATTATATCACTCACCAAAGCCAAACGACGCTCCGGGAACAGCTTGTTGTAGGCTAGGCGTGGAACAAGAAGCACAGTTAAGAGCGTGCGAAATGGACGAGCGGACGGGCGTAAGCGTGACTTGAACCGGTAGTGCGTTATACCGGAGCATGTGCCACGCGCTCGCGTAGCCTCTGACGTTGGTCTCGGACTACTTTGTGTGTGAGAGGGGGGCAGGGCGGAAAAGGCCTCCTTGTTGCCTGCGTTGCAGTGTTCTGGGCATGGATTAGTCGAGAGCCCATCCCTTGCACCAAACAAGCATGCCCTTACCTTGACGGTTGTCGACAAACTTGAGGGCTTTCATGAGTACACGGAGTCATTGAAGGAGCCAAAGAACTGGAGACATAGTGAGGCGGTCGGAGCCGAAAGGCAGGTGTACGACTGTGACTGCGGATCCGAGATATCGGATTTACTTCTAGCGAGTGCATTGGCTTCCCAAAACAGAATCCAAGCCGGTCCCTATTTTCGTGAATGTCTGTGAATACTTGATCCACTCCCAGACTTACCTAAAACCTCCGAGAAAGTCTTCGTTTGTTGACGGGCGGCAACTGGGCAAAGTATCCTGCCCGATAAGTCTCAGACGAATCCTCGGCTACATGTGTAGCTCTGCAACTGCCTTACGACGTACGGCAAGCACAAGCTGTTCGCTCGGCTGAACGGCTATTGCAGTAGTCCAGAAAATGGAGCAAACCGTTCCCTGAGATCAGTCTCACCCGAACTCGGGGTCGTCCTGCCCTGGAACCCCCCGCTGCTCCGGCTTGACTCCTTCGCCGCTGCTCGCTCTTCTCTCTAAAGTATACGCGAGATTTTGCATGTCATAAATAAACAAGGACAGAGGGAAGCAGACCTCATTGGACCTCGATACCCTGCAGGCCACCGCGGGAACCTACCACCACCCGCATGTCTGCTACCACAAGCCAGCGGGATCTGAACACATCTAGTTTTCTCCCCCCTTGACAAGCGGGAGCGATGGAGCCCGCCCTTCAACCTATGAGAGTATCCAACGATGTCAACACAGAAAGACTACCCGTTCTTGGTCGGGACGGAAGAGCGTTCTATTTTTGCGTCCCGGTTCTCTTTCCTCTATGTCGACATTCACCGCCAACGGCCTATTTCGCGGAGAAGAAGCCTCCTAAGGTCGGTACGTTCAGGAAATACAGTACACACACTTGTGGTATGCAACACACACAGTTGTGGTTTCACCACCCGGGGGCCTGCCCAAAGACCACGTTATTTTTCCACGCCACCAGTCTTTCGAGGCGCGTTATGCTTAGGAGGTAGGCGACAACGAGCCTGCTCGCGGAGGGAGATAGACTGCCTTTGGATGTTTTATTTCTTCTTATAATCTCTCTGCTCTCTGGCTCTGTACCGCGGGCTTCGCGCAACTTGTTGTCCTCTCTGTCTCCCGTGGTCCCCCCCACTGTTTCTCTCTTTGATCGTATGTACGCGCCTCTCTCCCTGCCTCTCGTTCTCCGTGAGTGCGTCTCTCTCTGGTATCTCCATTCCTTCCTCTTTGTGCATGTGCCTCAGTGGTCTCCCCATACTCACCGGCCTTCGATTTTTTTCGCTCTTTCGCTTTGGCTAGGCTGCTCCTCCTCCTCTCTCGCTCTATTTTCCTGTAGTCCCTTTCGTCCATATCTGGCGTTGCTTCTTCACTGCAAGCACATCACATTTCCGCCAATCCGTGTATGTAGACTAAAATTTATCAGCAAAATGGCACTTGGAGCAACGAGATTACAAGAATAGCGGGCTACGTAATAGAGGATCGCACACCGTTGAGTTGGTAAGGGTGTTAGTCGCCTGCCCTCTCTCCGACAGGGATTTGGACGGCATTTCTCCGCGAAAAGCAGGTATTGTCGAAAGGATCAGCCGAGGAAAAAAACATACGCCCCCTTACTTCGCCCTATTCCCGTGTTCGCAAGCATAAGTATCAGGAACGCCGCAACATGACGGAGGCAAGCGACGACGTGACGACGAACATCCCTGAAACCTCCTTCCCCTTCAACAGATGCGGACTCACAGTTCTTGCAGTGGATCGGTCATGGCAAGAGGCGCCGTCGGTTCGTGAGGGGCAAGCCGCCACTCTTCTTCGAGTCTTGCCGCGTAAGTCCCTAGCGAGCAGAGCTTTCCCAGCGCCCACACGTCGGACAACGCGCAGCACAGCACGGCTCCAAAGAAGGCGCAAGTGAGATCCGTCGGGTAGTTGGCTTGTAGTGAGAACGATAAAGGGGTGGAGTAAAGGAGAAGCGCGGTGGGAGAGTGAGATATAATCGATGCATTTCAAGGGACGGAGGATGTTGGTTCTGACACGGTGTGGCGTTGGGACCGTGATTTGTTCTGTGTGGCGGGAAAGGGACAGGGCTAGGTTGAACGTTGACACGAGTATTGGCAGTATCACCGGCAACGTAAAGTACAATGGGGCCGAACACCAACTTGTCTGTAGGCGGTCGAAGAAAGGCGTCCTTGACCTCGGACTGACCACTTGCAACAGCGTTCCGTTTGATCAACAGCGAAGGCAAGCTGCTGGGGAAGGTGGTTTCTGTTGCGCGTGCCTGTGAACAATACACAACAGAGCATGCCAGTTGGCTCCTGTTGCTCGTACTTGTGAGGTGTACACAACAGAGCATACGACGCACAAGGCCCTCGCTCAGCCTGGAAACATGAGTCGAGAGACGTGAGCTGTGTGTGTGTGTGGTATCGCAATAAATGTTGTATCCCCGAGCGATAAACCAGAAGAAGCCAATAGCTGCGGCCTGTGAGCGCCCTTATCACTACAGTACGTCCTTGTGTGCTTACCGGAGAAAGAGTAAGTTTGGAAGCTCACAAACACAACCGCCGTAGTCCATAACCCGAAGGCCCACGTGAAGTATGACATCCAGATGTGCACCTTGGTGCACGGAAGGTATCCAGTGATGGGGGGAGGGAGGGTGGGTGGTGTTTCGATGGGCAACACAAACAGCAAAAACGGATGATGGCGGTCGGATCGACCACTTCGGTCACCCGGTGTGGTCGGCTTAGCTGAAAGGGATGAATTGCAGGAGACATGTCATTGGAACTCCGACGACAGACTGACGAGGTTTAGTGTTTTAGGATTCGACAAGCGACGTGCAGCCTTCAAGAAAGGGATACACCCACGTTCTTCCCAAAAACAAGCAAATATCGGTCACCACGGAAGTCAGGTTTGCGCGTTGTATATGAAGCAAAGCAATTTGTTAAGGAGTGTCGCTGTTACCGTAGTTGATGTACTTTATAGAGAATAGGGTGTGGGATGGCAGGAAGGTATACCTCCAAGGTAGTATTCCACATGAGGACTATCTGCGTGTGCCCTAAGAGGTTGAGACCACATCTTGACACGGCAACATCCCTTTTCAACACAATCGTGGATCGAGAGCATCAAGTGACCCGCGCCTTTGTCATCTCCCTACTTGCAGGATCAAGCCGTCATTTACAGCTTGTACTTCTGAATGGCGTCGCTCTGAATCGTGTGAACCAAAGAAGTCGGCACAAGCACTGCGCTCGTGCTCATAGGGTATAAGAATGAAGTCGTTTCGCATGAACCACAGTGCTCTGTGGGAATATCGATGATTTCTTCGAGTTCAGTGCTAGAGTTCTCCAGCGCATATTACCCTGAGAACTGGGGAAACAAGCCGACTTTCCGAACCAACTCGTTCGATATTCGTTCGCGATACAAACAGGTCGAACAACTTGCCAGATAGGTATGTTGTCCTGTTTACTAAACGATCAAACAAGCTTGTTGTCTGCAGTTGGTTCTGGGAGAACACCGGGATATTGCGAGTGAACGAACCGATTGCGATCGTTTTTTGAATAATGTGTTATATATTTTTTTTGTCTTTTTTATCGCATCCCCGTGCCATAACCCCGATGGGTGCGAGCACCCCCACAGCGGTGAGGAAATACACGGAATCCCGGTGGGATGATCCCGAAAGGTGCGATTCTGAATACCACTCCAGCGACTTACTGGTACCAGCGTACCAGCAGATCTACGGTATGGGATCCGTAACAAAACACGGCCACAACCTAAACACAAATGTTGTCGAGTACCAGTTATAGCTTCAAAAGTGGTGCGCAGCCACTTGCGGTATTCATTCGCCATAAGCGTGACTCGGTGCGATAGCACCGATGCCTGTGTAGAATCGAAAAACATCACGCCGTTCTTGCTTCTTCTTTGCATAATCCCATTCGATTACTCGGATGAGTGCGTAGCCTCCGATAAGTGCGTTTTCTCGCAAGATCACGATACGTGCACAGCTTAGGTACACTTTTTACCCCGGATGATTGGTTGATGACCGCGAGATGACTGCAACTCTAAAGAACTACACAACTCAATTAGAATGCTATGATATTTGGACAGCTTCACATGCGAGGAATTTCATATGCTTTCTTTTATGTATAGCCTAGTACGTGGATAGAAGTATTTTGTAGCATGACAACGATAAGAAACCGCACGTCCAAGCTTGATGGAAGGTAAGGCATCAGCACCTTCTGTCTGAAAACTCTTCGATCTCGGTGGACGCCAACAACGGCCTCGTTCCAGAGCAGGAATACCCAAACGCCGCACATGGCGCACATGGTATTGAAGAACGCCCAGACGTACTGCATCTCACGTAGCTTTCCTCCACCCGCCGTGTTGGTGTACCAGTACGTGATGCCGTACCTGACGTCTGTATTGAAAACATGAACGATGTCGCTAGCAGTCGCCAAGGTCAGACTAGTGAGCAAACTCGGTACTGGTTTGGTAGCGCAGAAACCATTTTATTAGCGCCACAAGCAAAGTACAGCCTCAAACGCATCTCTTCGAGTTAATTCATTTTGTGCCTATGTAACCACGTACAACTCGCCACGGTGGGACTTTTGAGTACAGCTTCACAAGGTTCACAAGTTGTGTTGGCTTGGCAGAAAAGCACGCTGACCATGCAAAGACAGCGACGTCGTGAGCGCACTTCAAGCAATACTTTTTACTGTCACCAGTAATGACGGCGATCGCAGACATTCCAAACGCGACGACAGCCTGCATCCCCCACAGCCCCTTCCCGTGTTTCTTGAGCTTGTCGATAGCCTTGAGCGGGTCGATGTAGCCGTTGCCCCCCGATACTTCAAGCCCTCCCGTCTCCGCAACTTGCGTCGCGGACGCTTGTCGCCATTGGATCTGGGACGCGCTCTGTCGGCGTGCGCCGCGAGCTCGGCCGGCGGATGAGCGTCTTCCGGGCATGCTGTGTTGGCACGGGTCTGTTGTCGATGTTGCTTTCTTTTCCCTGCTATTAGTACGCAATCGCGATATCAGCGTGGGTGTGCAACCATTGCCGTGCGCCAAACGTGCTGCACCCGTCTACCTCCTCGGCATCTGTCTTGCTGCGCAAAAATCGACCAGGTTCCTGAACAACTATTCTGTTTTTACAACAATTGCGTCTCACAGAACCGTATGCGCTCCCTTGAGCCATAGACTTGGCAGTTTACGTGATTGGTTGCGGACGATTCTCAGGATGGTGCCAAAAGGACAGCTTACAGATGGCGGTCTCGTCAAGGCGTCGTTTCTTTGTGCGGCAGTTTAAAGCCGAAAAGGAACAACACACCTTCAGAACCACAATCGAAAATGAGAACTTCGCGGTAGGCATCGGACTTTGGAAGCCCGAGGCCCGGGGCCAAGCGACCATTCGCTGCAGCTCATTCGCTATGCGGGTCCGCATGCAAACCGGCTAGTGCTGAGCGTAGAGCGCAGCGGCGAGAGAAGGGGGGTCAGCAGGACAGCAAGAGGAGAAGAGGCGAGGGGATGTTGGATAGCTTCCCCAGCGGCGTGGACTGGCAGGTGTGTGTGGGCCCCTTCCTTGCAGTGCACTCGAGACTCGACTCGAGACAAGCGGCAAATCTTTGTCTTGAGACACTTCTTGCTTGTCTGCTGGGAGCAGGTTCCGCAGACGGAAAAGAAGTCAGGCACCAAAGGGTTGGGAAAATGCCAGTAACTAGTGGCACGTGCTGGTCCTCTAAGAAAGCAGTCTTGGATAGTTTCGGTGTGCATACTGCTGCACCATGAGACGGTTTGGTCCCTGAACTCAAGACTGCGCATTTACCCCGACACCAATCTCTGTCTTCGTAACGTCCGTATGTTGCGTGGTTTGCCTCCTGCATTGATGTGGGTCGCGTCACGTGCGTGCATCTTCCGAGCAATGGGTGAGCATGTGCACAGGTGTGCAGGCATAACATCGTTATCTGCAACTCCATACCCTCACCAATTAGCAAGCCGAGTTATCCCCTCTCACTCTGTGCACGTAACACGACGATGCCTTGCTCGACACGTTCTGTCCTGGCCGCTGGAATTTTCTTCACCCGAGTGGCCAACGTGCCTTGTCGGCGGTCTGTCGTGGCGGCTGGAATTTTCTTCACCCGAGTGGCTAGCTTGCCTCCTTCGCGAACCTCTCTTGCTTTGGGCACCTACTTGTCTATTGTACAAAACAAAGATCGTATGTACAGCAGTACTCGGCATACAAGAGAGGTGCGCTTGGTACTTGGCACGGTTTTTGTGTCAGCGTGTGTGTGGTGACCCTCTCAACGGATAACTGTCACCTATTTCATGTTCCGTTGTCACAGCGTGGTGAATAGTTCCTTGCATAACGATGAGAACTAGTCTAGTTGCATTGCGAGAGCTTTTCCTGTATTCTCAAAGGTGATCAACGTAAACGTTCGTCTACGCTCGTTCATAGGCAGAGAAACTATATGTACGAAGTTCATCTGTCGTAAATGTGGCGTTTGCAGCGGTAGATGTGAGGGGTCGGTATATGGACTACGTTTTATTTTTAGGGGTTAGACCACTGCTGTTTATGGCAAAAAAACTCTTGATCTCCCTTTCTTTCGACTAATAATGTTGAATTTTTCGACCTTTGGGCAGTCTGCCTCCCGAACGAGTGCGAATCAGCTGTTCGACCTTTGAGAACAGTCACAGCTTTGGCTGAGATGTCTACAGATCGCCTACATGTATCGCCAGGGTCCACGTTTGATTTTTTCAAGGTGCGCAATTTTCACGCAAGATTTTTCCAACACGAGCTTTGGACAGATCTTGACCCAAGATTTGCTCCGAGGTGGCCTTTCGGCCGAATCTTCAACATGTTGCTCTGCTGGAAAAAAATCAAACGTGAACCCTGGCGAAACATGTAGGCAATCTGTAGACATCTCAGCCAAAGCTGTGACTGTTCTCAAAGGTCGAAGCTGATTCGCACTCGTTCGGGAGGCAGACTGCCCAAAAGGTCGAAAACTTCAACATTTGTCGAATGGAAGGAAGATCAAGATTGTTTTGCCATCAACAGTGGTCTTATTAACCTAGCTCACAAATTGGTGCTCAAGTTCTTAAATTTTGATTTTCTTGAGGCTCAGTTTCTTTACTCCAATGAGTTTTTAAAGTGCGGGCGAGTTCTGTACCACTTGGATTGCTTCAGGGGTTTACGACGCAGTCTTTTACTTCTACCGCAGTTTTGTGTTACAGTAGAGGTCCCTGTTTAAGGCCGCCCTGTGACAGACGAAATGACCGGCCTTAAAGAGGGCACCCAGCCTTATTGGAAACGGGTCTTGTTTAAGGCCGGTACCGGCCTTATTGAGGAATACTGATGCTGCACTCAAGCCTTTCGGGAAGGTGGCGGGCCCCAACGTGTCTGAAGGCTCGCAGGATGCACGTTATACATACACAGATTAATACAGCCGCACACGTCGTGACAAAAAATGATGTTGCATGTTTCCAAATATTACTTGCTGCCGTAGTAGCTGATAAATATGTATTTCACTTGGTACGTGCGAAGTATCTCATCGAGTGGCTCCCTCGTGAAGGTCGACAACAATACTGCCAATCCTGATCAGAATGAGAGGACGCCCACAGCAAAAAGTCCAACGATCTGCACGACACAACCTTCGAAAAATGCACACGGTGCACCAACTGACCAACTGGTGCTTAGCCGTCAAACACAAAGTCGACCAAAAAAATCGAACAGCCCGACCTCTCTACCCCCTGATACACTAACAACGGCACACGAAAGTTGAAAATACAAGGATGAAACCGGACACGACACCGAACCCGGGAGAACCACTCAACTGACGCTCCCCATGCGCCTATCGAGTCTACAAAAATTGCCTCATGTCTGTCTGCCTCGCTGCCTTCGAACCATGCGCTGCGATCATTGCCATTTTGGCCTTCTGTAGATGGAAAGCGGCGTCACGGTTGCCGCTCCCCTCCGCTGCCGTCTCCAGAGCCCCGAAGTGCGACGAAAGTGCCGCNCGCTGCGATCATTGCCATTTTGGCCTTCTGTAGATGGAAAGCGGCGTCACGGTTGCCGCTCCCCTCCGCTGCCGTCTCCAGAGCCCCGAAGTGCGATGAAAGCGCCGCGTACGGCGGAGGTGCCATATGACTTGAGGGTTCCTCGCTCGCTTCGTCGTCCGAGCTCTCCTCCGCGGGAGCCGTGCCATCAAGCAGCTCCGTCATCTCGTCCACGGCGTCCTGCTGCATGGCTTCCACAACATCCGGCTGGTCCTCCACCGTCGCCCACACTTCAGCCGCTCGCACAGCGGCAGCATCGGCGGGCTCTCCCGCAGTGATGCCCAGGGCCGCCAGCATTTCTGTCAACTCCGTGTCAACACCGTAGGACTTCTCCTGTGCTTCATGCACCCGTGAGCTCATGCTGGTGAGGGTCTTTGCGAGAAGATCCACAGACTCCTTGTCTGCACGCCCCAGCACTGGCCCTCCCGCCGGGGCCGCGGAGCCACTCGGCCTGTGCTTCCCGTGCGCAGCCGTGAGCTCAGCCTCCATATCTTCGGGGAGCGTCTTGGCCTTCACGAAGCACCTGGTGGGCGAGGTGCGGGGAAAGCAGCGGCACATTCGCAATAGAGAGGGTGTCGGGCACAAGAAACGAGGACATCTGTTGGCAAACGAGTTATCGAGCGATTTCAAATTCATTTGTCTTTCTCACAGCGACACGAAACAGCTAAGGGGGTTCGACCCTGGCACACAATTATACATCAGATGTACACCGGTTTCTACCTTTGCAGATGGACGAACCGGACACCACTTGTATTTTGGAAGCAATACCTGGCGATGGTCGTGGGGGTGATGCTGCCCCAGGCGGTCTTGAGAAGGTCTGCCGCGTCCAGCACGTGGGGGTGGTTTCCCTCCGCCAAGCCCGCGGTCCCGCGCGCCATCTTGCGGCTCTTGGCCTCGGCGCGCAGTGCATGAGCCACGAGCATGGTTGACACCTTGGCGTCGAGGAGCTCCCTCCTGTAGATCACCTTGGTGGCCGCGATGATCCCCATGTCCATGGGCTGGTGTACGCTGGTGCAGTTCGGTGGGTACATCACCACCTCCACCTGCCCGATAGGGTCGATCAAATCACCGTGCGACGAGCAGCCATCCATGACCAGCAGCACGGGCTCGTGAGTCCAGCGCCGAATGAAGGGTAAGAAAACCTCCTGCCACCACTTCTTGAAGGTCGGCCCATCAGACCACGCGTTGCTTTGCGCGAAGTACTTGAGAGGACATTTCCGGCGCCTGAAGCAGCGCGGGTTCTTGGCCGTGCCGATGATCGCCAGTGACACTTTCGCAGTGCCAGTGGCATTCGCGCACATGATCGCAGATATGCGATCCTTGAACTCCATGTTCTTGCTCCCTCAAGTGGTCTTCCGATCCTCGAACGCGGCGAGATACGTCCTCCTGGCTATGAGCTTCCACTGGATGCCGGTCTCGTCGACGTTGAAGATGTTCCTCGCCGGGTACTTCTCGCAAGCAGCGCGGACCTCCTCCATGCCCTCTTTGATGCGGTCGTGGTCGACGCTGCCGGCCGTCCCATGAAGTTTGTGGCTGTGGAGGTCGTTGCGCTTCACGAAGTTCTTGCTCCACTTGTCGCCAGCCTTGAAGTCCTCGAGCCTCCTCCTCACAGAGTCTTTTTCGCCGAGCCCAACAGGGTGGCCTTGGCAGAGCGACCGAACGATCGGATGACGTTGCCGGTGACGGTGTACTTCGCCATCCGCGCCTTGTTGACGAGGTCCAAAACTAAAGAATCCAACTGTACAAAGTCAGCAGCAAGCACCACAGGGTTCAAATCGGTGTGCGCGGGTTAGAACAGTACTGCTTTCACGGATGAAAAATATCACAAAGTTACGCACCAGCACCAAAGTTCACGCACGCAGAGACTACACTTGTGGAAAGGTTGACGTTTGCCGACCCTAGCCAAAATGTACATGCAGATNACTTGTGGAAAGGTTGACATTTGCCGACCCTAGCCAAAACGTACATGCAGATCAAACGAGCAGTGGAAAAAAAATGTACTTAAAAATGTGTGCGCCTTTTTTGTTGTGTGTGGGTGGTGCATCAGATGTAAAATGTTCGTGATGCTTCCAATGCAGTTGACCGCGCAAAGCACAATCTCAGTGCATATCCAGACTGCTTTGGGGGGGGTGGCTATTTGCACACATCAAGCACTGCGATTTTTATTGAAAGTGCGATATGTACCGAGTGGTACAAACGGCAGGCTGAAAATAAAAAAAATCAACACCGAGTGGTACAAACGGCAGGCTGGAAAAAACAACAACAACAGGAGCATACCTCTGGGAAATCCCCCGCCCGAAGGGTGGCGCTGCTGCGAGTTTTGGCGGCCTGATTCTCTATCTTCGCCCGCTCGGCCTTGACGGTACGCACCGTGCGCTCCCCGCAGTTGAACTGCTCTGCGATCGACTTCTGCGTCCGCGTGCCCTTGTCCAGCAGACGGAGGATATCCATCTTGGTGCCGATGTCCATCCGCGTGCGCGAACCAGTCATGTCCGGGTGGTTGGCTGGTTTCGTTTTTTTTTGTCTTGCCGTGTCTCCGCTCTCCGTGGCTGACCCTTTGCGCTTGCCCTTGCCAGCTGTCGAGGCATTACTACCCTTTTGCTTGGAGGCAATGCATGCAAAGCAGATGCGGGTGGTTTCGTACTCCGCATCTTGGTCTTGTTCCCCACACAGTCCGTGCAGTCTGCCGCCACACCCCCCGTGACATTGGTGGCCGTGAGGGGCTACTGGCGTCTGGTCTGGCAGTTGGCACAGCTCACCAGCCGCACAAGGCATGTGTGCCCCTACTGGTTGGGTCGGTAGGGGTACGCTAGGTATTGCTGTTGTGTAGATCTCTGGAGTGGTTGTGTTGCGCCTTGAATAATGCTGCCGAAGAACTGGGTGCGTCACACCAAAACCGGCCTTATATAGGGTGCGCGGACGCCCTAATCGGCCTTAAATAGGGACTATGCCTGTTTAAGGCCTGTGCGGCCTTAAAAAGGAAGGCAAGTGTGACAGACTATTTCACCGGCCTTAAAAAGGGCCACCGGCCTTAAATTTGCGGCCTTAAACAGGGACATCTACTGTACCCACTACCAGAGACGGCTAAAGGAGGTGTACCTCATTCTCTCCGGCCCGTGATGGTGACTCCTAGTCTCTGTTGTTACCTCGCAAANTATTTCACCGGCCTTAAAAAGGGCCACCGGCCTTAAATTTGCGGCCTTAAACAGGGACATCTACTGTACCCACTACCAGAGACGGCTAAAGGAGGTGTACCTCATTCTCTCCGGCCCGTGATGGTGACTCCTAGTCTCTGTTGTTACCTCGCAAAGCGCGCAGAGGGAGTGGAGGACTCCAGAATATCTGTGGTCGATTTCTATTGACTTGCCGACCCCTCGGGGCCAGTTTATTTGAGTGTACCTTCTTAGGGTAAGTTAGCCTGCGACCACGGGAATCGGCCGCGTCGAGTGTTGTATCAGTACGGGCATACGAAGGTACTGGGTAGAGAGATCGGAACGGTTTCAATGTGAAGACAACAACAACAACAACAACAACAATCCCGCCACCCCCCCGCCAGGCTCCAAGATGGCGAGGAGACGTTCGAAGCAAGCCGCCGTCGCCGCGACGGCATCGCTGCTGCTGGTCGGCCTCGGCCTGACCGCCCTCAACCCTCGCAATCTGGCGCTCCTGCCCACGGTCCAAGACAGCAACGGTAACCACCGACCTCTCCAGCAAAGCCGGGCTGCTGCTGTTGGCGGAAGAGGAGAGGCGGGGCAGGGATTGCCGGAATCGTGGGAACGCGAGGTCGGGTTGACGCCTGGAGTGATGCTACCGAACCAGGGTCGATCCAAAGGTGAGAAACTCACTGCGCAGGCGGCCCGCACTCGGGAAAGATGGGAACAGGAAGGGGTGGGACACTCCTGCGTAGCACAGCGTATGCACGCTTGGATTGCACCCCGTATAGGTGATTTCAGCTAAAGGTCCGGCTGTGCTTTCAATGGCCCATGCAGAAATAACCGTGTGTTTGGCGCTCGGATTCGTGCTCTAAAAAAGCTTCAATCATTTGTTCCATTTCGAAATAAGCCGAAACAGGAACGAAAAATGTCGACAGACATGGACGATTGCATTCCCCAAACGGTTCGCAGTAGTCAAACGGGGCGTTTGCGGTGTATGACCAGGCCATATAGCACTAAATTACGCGGTGACTCCGCATCTTGCTTAACAAGCCGTATCTTTTTTTAGCTCACTATCAAGAACGAGAAAACTTTAACTTACCAAACCGGATGCATGGACGCCACCTCTCACAGTCGGCCGGGCGGGTGTAGGAGACGACAGTGGCTGGCGCTCGCCGCACTACGGCGACATTCAGCGCGGGCACCAAGCGTGGCTCCTGCAACGGGCAGAAGAGATGGGGTCCAGAGAAGGTGTAGCCAGCGTAGACACACATAGTGGTGGCCGTATCGAGGGGGGTACGGCGGACGCCAACGCAGCACAGGGCAAGGGCAAGACGGACGGTGTAGCCGAAGAAGCAGAAGTGGCGGGCGAAGCAGGAGAGAGCGAGGGAGGGAGCCCTGTGGCTGTGGGCTCAGAGGGTTCGACAAGGGCAGGCGAAGCCGCGGCCGCCGCGGGAGGGCGGGGGCTGGAGGGTAGGGGTGACGCCGAGTTGTTTTTTTCCCGCGCTGTCGTGGCCGCCTCTGCCACCGCTACCGCGGCTGGCGGCGGTACAGAGACGGGAACAAGGCGACCACGCTTGAGGAGGGGTCTGAAGCGACAGGAGGCGACGCCCGAGACGGGCGGGGAGGGGGCGAAAACGGCGCCGACAGAAGCGACGACCCTCCCGTCGGAGGGGAAGAAGAAACGGGTAGCCGTTTCGGCGGCGGGCGGGACGAGGTCGGCGAGCGGGGGGCTCCGCGAAGACGACCGAGTAACACGGACACCCCCAACGACCACAGCGAAGAGGAGAACGGCAGACACCGGGGAGGAGCGGGCACAGCAGTCGTCACTGGCGGCGACGGAGCGCGTCTGGCGATTGAAACGCGGGGCGGAGCTTTGGCCCGGGACTTACGTCCCCCCGATCGAGCCGACGCGGAGGAGAGAGCTCATTTACAAGTGGTCCTACGGTAAGGGGCCAGAGGAAGCAGCAGGGGCGACGGGGGGCGAGTCGGGGCGCATCTTGTACGTGATCTCGTCGTACGACCGAGGGAAGAGGCTGGGGCTAGGCTACAACGGCAAGGTGGACAAGCTGGACTACATCCTCATGATGATGGACGAGATGAGGGAGGCCTGCGAGGTGCGCGAGGTCGTCGTGTGGCGTACGTAACGCGAGGAGCTTTTTCCTTGTTTCCCAGAACAAATTGGGGGATGTTTTTTCTGGCGTCTTGGCCGTGGTGATCTGATTAGATCAAGGACATTGCTTCGAGCATTTACAGCAGTGTAGGCAGGAGCAGGGCATGGTCCTTGACACATTAGGACAAGTCGGAGAAGCTCGACAGGCAGATAGATGACTAGGGAGGCGGCAACGGGTACACGCCATTCGATAACGAGGCGTCAATATTATTGTGTGTGCTGCACCTTTCTTTCCTTGCGTCCTCCTAGCTTGTATACAAAAGGCATACGACACCACGCACACCTCTTCGCCCGCGTGTTTCTTCTCAACCCCCCGCCGTTTCCTTCTGCACCCCGTCACGCTTGTTACCCCCCCCCCTGCATCACGACCAAAACAGGCGGGATTCTCCCCCCATGTCCACTTGATCGCCGCCTGGGACACCTCTGAGGTCGCCGACCTGATTCGAGACCGCCTCTTCTGCCAGAGGACCGGCGATCTCGTCCCTTACTCTCACGAGGAACACCCTCCCTCCGTCCGGAACAACCTGGCGATCAAGGTGACCGACGACGTTGTATCCGCGGTGGGAAGGGGGGGGATGCTTGTTGTCTTGCAGAGGTATGTAGTCGGAAGTAAGAAGTGAGAAACCGACAAAAAAATGAGTCTGCCGTAAGGAGGGGGGGCACCGCAGTATGTTTTTTACACCGCAGACGTCGGTACATTGATCTGAAAGAAGTTTTCAAATTCTCGTCCGTATTACATAGTTAATTCGGACGGTTCTTTTCGTAATGGTTACCACCTAAGATCTTCGAGTCCTGCTCACGCACGGTGTCGCAAGTGTCGTTTTATTTTTTGCAGCGTCACCCAACCCTATTGGCTCCCGGAATACTTTTTTTCGTGTCTCGGGTAAAGCTGTGCCCCGAAGGGAGTAATTCACTTCACGCCGCCTGCATACGTGTGTACTGCTTCAGTACGACATTTCACTCCCCGTTGACATCCTGGGGGAAGAAGCAAGATATACGGCCCCAACACCCGGCCACCTACTGCCATCCACGGCGTAGGCGGTTTGAAACCGTCGGCCAGGAAAAGGGAAGTAGCCTCTTTTCGCATCGACGCCTATATACACGCTCCGGGTGTCTCCTGCGTTTTTTTTTTCGATCATAACCACCTGTTGACTTGGTCCCACCTACATACATACCGCTCTCCTTTGCCGGATTTTTGGTGTGAAGGTTCTCGTTGGATCCACCGCTGTCCCGACATCGGGGCCGAGGTCTGATCGTTTGGCTGGTTGTTGGAATTCATCTGCCACCACAGCAGCAGGCTTCTGTCGCGAGATAGGGCCCGCTCGATCTGCTGTTTCAGGGTTTCAGGGTATCGAACGTTTTACCAAAAAATAGTTCGTCGCTGGTCCTGCCTTCGGCTTCATCCGCCAAGCACTTAATTTTGGAAAAGTGGAAGTGGTACTTGGCAGCTGCGACCCGGAGGAGTGCGCGCAAGAGCGTGTTTACTTGTTGCGCGATTTACCTGATTGTCTGCATCCCCCTTGGTTCGTGTCTTCTTTTCTGTTCAGCATCGCATCTACATGAAATCAAGGGTGGAAGACTTCGACGTTTTCATGCAGGTAAGTCGGCGAGAGGCGTTACACGCACGTCGATGTGCGAAACGTGAGGACCACAAGACATTTGAGCCTGACGGGACGTATTTTGCGTTTGCGCTATAGAGCATATTGCGGTGGTGGATATCCTTCAATTGTCCGCCAGGTTGTACGGAAGCAGCATGAAGATGTGTGCTTTGCGCATGGCGCGATAGAAGAGTGGATCTGTGCGCATAATCTTATGAGTGCGGGGACTGCTTATGCACCACCGCCTTCGTTCGCTTAAAGTATTGCTCAAGTGTGCGAGGCGTTTTGCAAGCACCGCCCCAACAAATACATGACTGCATGGTATTTCCTGTGTATTTTCTGACGAATCAGCTTTGCCTGCCTTTCCTTTTCCATGTTTAGACGGAACCAAACCCGTGCCCATCTCGTTCCCCCTCTCCCCCTCTCGGTAGCACTTTTCTTGTTTGTCGTCGTCTTATGCCCCGCTGCCGGGCGGGGGGGGAGACAACAGAACCAAGCTCGTTTAAACATTGAACAAAGAAGATGTGTTCGGAACAATAGCAAGGGTGCGATAATCTCGTCACGTCTTCCTTCCTCTTCGGTGGAATTGATTTTGACCTCACCCCTCACGTCCAGGCCCATTACTCCACCTGATGTGTTTGTTCGGTCGCAGGTGGAGGACGACATGATCGTTACCCTGAACCACATCCTGCTGTACCGCGAGGAATGCGATAATCTGGATATCAGATTGTGAGAGAAGGTGTAGTTGCAATGTGGTGGTTGTGTCGACAGCAGCAGTATCAATAGTCCCCCGTAGACACGCTGACTTCTGCGATCGACGAATCGGAACAGGGGCGGTAGAATCGGTGACGGTTCACACCAGCTGTGCGAAAGCGGTGTTAGTCGATAGTTTCCTTGTTTTGGGTGATGAACGTGCGAAGGGCGTAAGCGTTGGTATCAAGACGCGTCACCTTCGAACCATAACGTGTGCCGTTCCCGGGCATCAAAGTCCCAAGTTTCTCCACGCGGTGACAACTGGTGATTGGTCGGTCAGTGCGCATCCCGAACCGAAAAAGATGGCTGATGATGTGCAGCTCGTAGGTACATTCACCGTTGTGTTGGGTACAGTTCTGACTGTGTTTGGTTGCGGCCCTGAGGTGTCTGGCCGCGTTACTATGTGGTACAAGGGGTGCGGACATGGGTGCCTGCCGGCCCCCTGTACTGCGAGATAGGGTCGGAAGGTGTGATTCGCGCAGAAGGAACCTGTACAATCACTGCAATGGGCATGGCCCATATTTGTGTGTAGGGTCCACCTTCTGCGGACAGATAGTTGCAGCAGTGACAACAAAGACCATGCGGTATCGCACAGCAGTGAACTTTCTCGCCTGTCCCCTTGCCTCCCACCTCCCAACGATGGCGTTTTGTTCCCCTCCCCCTGTGTGCAGTGGAATGGGCGGGTCTCGCGGTAGACCGAACGTGTTCGTGCCGGGGTTCTTGAGGGTCGAACCCGGGGGGACGAAGGACAAGGAGAAGGACAAGGGGGAGGGGGAGTGGTTCGAGTGGGAGATCGTGTTAAGCAGGCGAGTTTTTGTGCGTGCCAAGCAAACGCCCGCTCACCCCAGCAAGGGGCCACCGATTGCTCTTGTAGTTGGGGACGGATGGGTGGCTCGAGTAGGAGACCCTTTAGAGTAAGCAGGTTGTTTGCCAATCACCTCTACAGCAATCAGGGAATAGTTGTTGTTGTTGAGACGACGAATGGGCTTATTGTTCTCGTCAGTATCCTAGGCTGGATGTTCGGCCCCGTACGTCTAATATTGGTGGTCACTTAGAACCAACCGGCCGTATAGGAAGGGCCTTCGGATTTGAAATTTTTTGTCTCTCGGCCTTTTTTGGTTTTCAGTTTAGCCAATTTTTGGTCGGCTCGTCTGTGGCATGTAAATTCGCCCCTTCCTGAGTTCGTGGATGATTTGGCGAACACGGCACTATCACCACCACCTCCCAAAGGAAACAGCGACAGTGCTAACATAACCACAACCAACCAACCAGCTTGACCGACCCAGTCTTGCAGAAAGCTCGTCTCATGATATCATGATTCTTTTTTTTTTTACGCATATTCCATGGACCGCTTCGGTCCTGGGATGGCCCCAAACAACGACCACCTTGAAGTAACGCCTGAAACGATAACCTAACCATGTGCTACGACAAACCAGGTTCAACCCGATCAACATTTACGGAGCGGGCACTTACATGTCCCTCACTCCGTCCAAGGTGCTGCCTAGAGCGGGCAACAACCAGGTATGGTACTGTACCCGTGGACAAGGATCAAAAGGGAGAGCGCGTTTACGATATGCGAGCTATGTAATGCTTGCAGCGTTGTTGGTGCTAGTGGTGTTGCTATTTGTGATGTTGATGGTACTGGCAGGTTGGGATGATGGCTATTGTCGTTGTTGCTTGTGGTTGCTTTTTTCTCTCCCTTTTTACCTCTCCCTCCCCCCATTGCCCCTCCTCGCCACTCTCGCTCCCTCTATCCTTGGAGTACGTAAGAACCCCATCAGTGCGTGTATCGTCCTATCATGACTCGTAACAACCCGGCGTGGCCCTAAAACATCATGACAGGGCATGTGGATGGCGACCAGAGAGCAGCTGAAAAAGATGGCGGCGAACAAGGCGTGCAACTACCTCGAATTCGACGAATCTTCCACGAACGGCATACCAGAGATGCACAGCGGCAGCATTCAGATGTTCCTTCCGGAGTGCGGTTTTATAAAGGTATTGTACCCTGTCCCCGTGCTTGCGTGAATGAAGGAACCGATTAACAGGGCACAGGCGCCAGCGGTTGCATGACAATCCTCGATCGTTCCTGCCGCACGACACAGTGCCTTCCGGCGGTGTATTTTTTGCAGGTACGCAGCAACCGTTTGTTGAACCAGCGGCGCGTGTTTGTTTTCTTGCGCGCGTCGACATATTCCGGTACATCCGTTGCATGGTGCGCGTGCACGAACGGTTTTCGCGTTCAGCGACCGGCATTTTTCCATGTAACTAATTTGTTTCAGTGGCATCAGTGTATTTGATATGAATTAGTACGTTAAGTATGGTGTGCTTGCAAGAGCTGGATTGATCGCCTGGCCCTGCATGATCGTGTGGGTCGGTATCTCTCCTCCTGATTGAAGCTGTCCAACAGCACTTCCCCGCCCCACCCCCTCCTCTCACCGAACTAGGTCACCTGCATTGCTGCTGTGCCACACGGCGTTTTCTGACTGTAGACGTCCACGGTCCTTTGACCGTGTGGTGTTTTTACTCCACGCGATTATTCGGCTTGGGGTCTAGTCTAGTCAGTAAAGTGTATCGCCGCCCTCACCCGCTGCTGACCATGCCACCCTTCTGACGTCAGTCCGAGGCGAAGTCTGTGTGCAACCTTTGCGCGAGGCTCATGCAACCACTGTGGTAGACTTGCCATTCCAATGCTGACACTACTCCGGTCGCATTGCACCGCCAATCAAGAAACGCCACCAATAGTGTGACCCCCTCCCCCCCCTCAGCCGGAGCCCACTCTCTTCTCTCGACTGACTGCTATTGGGAATGGTACCACCAGGTTTTCCCTGCGACCCATTTTGAAGACTTTATGGTACATCACCGAACGAACAACAAGAACGGCAGGGCAGGGGAAAGCATCCCCGGGGTTTCGACAGCCATGCTTCGCGTGTGGGCGGGGCAGTTCCTCAGAGACGAGGGGATGCTGCAAGTGCTGTACTGGACGATCCCTCAGGATTTCGGAACGTTCCCGTGAGACTCGGCTAGTGGACAGTGCCCGCGGTCTATTCCCCATTGCCGTGCACCATGTGGTTAAAGGGTCTTGAGATGTTCAAGTGCACTGCTGTACGCACAATGCAGCACCTTGAAGCGTTGTGATTTCTGCAGCACCGCCGCGGTTGTGGAATACTGCCTACTTGCTCTGCTCTGCTGTGCGGTCTGTGCGGTGCAACTGCTTTGCACATGACCATGGGTGCCAACCGTGTAGAGATAGGTACAGGAATATGACGTTGAGATGTGGGATGGGGGGAAGAGGAATGGGGAGGGAAAGCTTTCTGTGGTGTCAGGGGGGCGGGGGGGGGGAGGATCCCTGACGGTTAAGTCGAACCCAGATGGATGAGTTAGAGGGCTGGGCGGTGTGGGAGTGAGTGGAGGAAAGACGATTGTTGTCCAAATTTTGTTGATATGGTGGTACAGTAATATATGACATCGGTGTGACCTCTGTGAAATACCTACATTTCTCTTGAATATTCTTCTAGGCAAACGGCGTAACTACGGGGTGTTGTTAGTGTCTTGAGTATTGTTGGATATGATTGTGCAACGCTGCCACGATTGCGGGCGCATGACCGTTAGGTCCATGCCAACACCTTGGGGTCTTCGAGTACGATCACCGTACGCAGCATGCCCCGGTACAACTAAAATAAGTAACACCGAGGAGGTGTGTACGTGTATGGAAGCATATTTCTTGTTCTTGATTTCGTTCTGTTGTGTGTTTTCTGTTCTCATCAATGTCAATGATGTTGACGAACTTAGTTTTATGCAAGTGTGTTTTTCGTTTGATCTTTGCTGGGCTGCGGTGTGTTCCGCAAGTCGACCTTGTCTTTCGAGCAATTCTGGCTAGGAGACAGAAAGAGCTGGACGGGACCCGGGGAGGAGTTGGCATAGGGTTTGGCGAGAGGGTGATGCGTCTTGGTGTGCATTCGCCAGGTTGTCCTTTGTTTTGTTTGGTTGTGTCTCAGAATTACCACGCCACCGATTTGCGAGTTGTTCGGTGGCCAGATGGCAAGGACTTGCCGTTTAGAGAGAAGTATATCGTTAGATACCTTGTGAAGTAGCGAAAAATAACGTAATCTGCGCGTAAGACTTCCCAAATTGCCCGACGTATCCCTGTAGGCTAATTGGTATCCTCGCAACATTCTCCTGTAGCAACCAGGGTAAGGGGTTCGAACCCCGGCGAAGGCTTTTATTCAAAGTGAGTTTTGTCTCTCGTTTCGCTCCTCCCGTAGTCTACAAACATCTGTGGTGTGGTGTACACTCACAGGGAAGAGAGTGCTGCACTCTTCTCGCGTCAAAAATCGAAGGCAAGCATCGCAGGAGGGGTTGACAAGGGGCCTCAGGGGAAGGAATCCTTCTGTGTGACCACGGCCTCGAGTTCCTCCTACCCGGCAAAACTGCCTCCTACGTTTAGCGTTCAGCTACTGCTGCTGTAGTTCTGTACGTCCTGTCGATTTACGGTTGACGGTTACACGCGCTTTCTCTCTTTTTCGAATTACCGGACAGACACACCATCACAGAGAGACTCCACCTACCCCGGGTGAACTCTCTGAGGGGATGTGTGAGCGTCTTTGCAACGAGGAAACAGTTGTTGTTTCTCACATTAGCTCTAAAAAAGAAAGATTGGAGCCCGTGGTCTCAAAACCCGGCATACACGACCCCACGAAGAAACAGAAAAAAATAGGGTACAAAAACCACTCGGAAGAGAAACAAAATGATAGAAAGAAAGACCAGCTACCGCACCAAACGAGAAAGAGCGTCGAGGAGACCGATCAAAATAAAATAAAAGGAGATGGGGAACGCTTCCCACACCAGCCTACAACGCCGGAGGGTTCCGTGCCGGGTTCCCGCCGACCAGGCACAGTGAGACCTGCTGACTACGGGCTAGTTGAGTCTGTTTTCAAGTCCTTGACTCATCCGAGAGGCCAGTGAAGCCTGAACCGCCCCAAACTGCGGTGTAACTCTTCGGCAAAGGAATTCCGCGCGTCCCCCCTCCCATCCGACGAACCCCCCCGCTGGCCACGCAATCCAGGGACCATGGGTAGGGATGAATGTTTTAAAAGCGGCGCCTCTGATTGGCCCAAACGACCGCATTTGAACGAAGCTGATTGGGAGTTTGAAGGCGGGTTTAAAAAGCGGCACTTTGGATTAGTACAGGAGGCGCGCGCAGCGCTGCACGCGGCAGGACTCTGCGCTTTGTCTGCGCAGAGAGAAAGGACACAGCTCTCTCACCGCAGCACACACACGTACAACCCACAGCACACGCACAGCACCACAGAGGATTTACCATGGGTCGCAGGAAAGGATCAACGCCTGCGGCTGGAGCAAAAAAGCCCGGGACGAAATCAAACGCAGAGAAAAAGAGCGACGACGAGAACCAATCACGGCAGGCAGCAGCTTTCCGTACGGTCATGGGGTGGGCAGACACAACAACACGGAAGCGTCAGCGAGTCAGTTCCGAAGGTGCTACCAACGACGAGGAAAGTGCGGGTGAGAGGAGTACACCGACGACGATATCTGAGGTCGGAAGAGGCAGTACGAGCCAGGCAGTACATGTCGTTCGTGGGGCATCAAATAACTCCGCAACCGCTTCAACCCAGTCGCCGTCTTCCAAGGGAAAGGCAAGGGGAAAGCTCGCAGAGAACGTCCCGTAGGAGCAGCGGCATCAGAGGTAGTTGCAGCAACAGAGGGGCCGGAAGCAGGAGGGACAGTAGTATTCGATAAGAGGAACCAGCTGCAACAGTAACAGCAGGAATGCCACAAGCACCAACAGCAACATCACCAGCAGCCGCAACAGCAACAACACGAGCGGCAACAGCAGGAGTAACGTCAGCAAGCCCACCACCATCTACCGCACCTGTTCCTCAACCACCGGCACCGCTACTAGCGGCTGGGGCGGCGGCGTTACAAGGGGAACAAAGACGAGGACGAGGCGGCACTGCAAGTTCTAGTCCCTGTGCTGAAACTCGACCAACAGCTGCGGCAGGAGGCACGGCAGGTGCCGTTACAGGGGGGACGATAGCTCAACCTGCGGCTGTGGCGGCGGCGGCCGTCGGAGCAGCAAGCATAGGTCAAGGCAGTGGCAGAGCTAGACGGGAAACACAAGGAAGTGGTAGTGCAGGGGGGGGCGGAGGAAGGGGTAATGGACGACGAGCACCGATGATGGGGGTAGGAGAGGACGAGTCACTTTGGTATTTCGTTTCAGAGAGGTAGACTACGGTGGAGGGATTAAGCTTGCAGGGGTACGCTGATGCGGACTTTGCAAGCAAGGCAGCAGACCGTAGGTCGGTATCAGGGGGGATCGTGACGTGTGGAGGAGGCGCTGTGTCTTGGTTTTCCAGAACGCAGAAGTGTGTCACGCTTTCGACCACCGAAGCAGAGTACGTCGCGCTAGGTGACGAAGTGAAGGAGATTTTGTTTTTGAGGCAGATTTGGCGTTTCATGTTGCCGCAGGTCGTCATGCCGTGCATCCCCATCTTCGAGGACAACCAGGGGGCGATTCAACTATTTAGCGCAGAACCCCATCTCAAACTCGAACTCGAAGCACATAATAGATGTAAGGCACCACTTTCTCAGGGAACTGGTAGAGAGGAAGGAAATTTCGGTCATCTACGTGCCGTCGCCGTACCAGCGTGCAGACTTTCTTACGAAGAGTTTGTCCAAGGATGCTTTCGAGTCTCACCGTGATTTTGTGATGAAGTTGGCATGAACATTTTATTGTTTTTCAGATGGGTTGTGTTTTGGTCTTGTTCTGTTTCCCGTTTTGTTTCATTTCCCGCGCCAAGTATTTGTTAAGCGCGATGCAGCAATCAAGTCTTCTTCATGGTATATATTCTGGGAAAGACGTCTTTTGGTTGAGATATCGGGTGTTGTTTGCGAAGTTTTCAGTAAGAAACTGTTGCGAGCAGGACGGATGTTAGATATACTCGCAGCAGTATCTGGTCGTGAGGATCCCAGGGGGATACGTGTTGGGAATTTCGTATGTTAAAGGGTACCAGGGGCGCAGTCACGGGGACCCTTTTGGTGTGGTCGGTGCGATGATGAGGCTTGCGTGCGTGCTGCGTTCTTGTTCTTCCCTCTGTCTCCACCACCACCACCGTCTCTCTCCAATCAAGTTTCCTTCTCCCACTCTCTCTCAACTCTCTCTCAACCTCTCTCTCTCGGCCTAACACGGCCGACTACCCAGTGCCCCAGAACGTGCTTGCTGCACCCCGCGTAGAAAGTTCAGTGCCAGTTAGGCCTGTCCTCCATCGGCCGTTTTGCTTGTATGACGGAGAATAAGAAGGTGGAATTACTTGAAATTAGTATAGAAATAAAGTTTGTGTATCTAAATCGAAAATAAAACGGCCGATGGAGGACAGGCCTAGGGGTGCCAGTGAAGCAAACCGCCCCCTGCGGTGTAACTCTTCGCCCCACACCCGCTCGTAGCCCTCCTTCCCATCCGACGAACCCCCCGATGGCCGCCGCAACGTACACCCACTGCCCGCGCAGGACAGACCTTGCTTGCGGTTCTTCAGAGGCAACAGGGATAGATCTGCTGCTATAGTGACAGTTAAGAGCACTTGGCGCCAGACATTAAGCTCCTCAAGAGCTTCATGTATTTGTTCTTGCTTTTGCTCTTGGCTGCATTCGCAGCCCCAGATTCATCATTTTGGCGGGGCGCAGGATGACTAGATTTTGTCCCGCACGACGAATGCTCGCCCTTGTGCCCACCGCCAGGTATCCTGCCCTATACAGCAGGCATGCCCGGTGGGCCAAGTAATACTACTCAAGAAGAATTCCCTCGATGGGTCTCTTCTTTAGCAGCATAGCTTGGCCCTCCGGGCATGCCTGGTGCAGGGCAGGACGGATACTTGGCGGTGCGCACAAGGTCGATCAAACGTGTGGGACCGATCTTGTCGTCCGCCGGCACCGGCATATAGATGAAGCTGGGTCTGCGAATGCAGCCAAGAGGAAAGGCAGGCACAAAGACGTTAAGACCTTGAGGGACCTCATGTCTGGCGACCCTGTGCACCGGTGTCTGGGGGCCTGCAGGAGGCCATGACGGTGAGAGCGCCCACATTATTTGGTTTGTATCTGTTGTTGGGTGGCATGTGTGTTGATGTGTGGGTAGTATGTGTGCTTCTACAGCAGCGGTGCCGTCTGGATCTAACGTGCGCTCCAAGCCTCCTCGCTATTGGGATGCCGCGCCGCCGAACTTAGAGGTACGAAGCACCACGGGCAACCAGCATGAAACCTGTTTTATTGTGATGGATCCATCCGTGTTCCAGCCACCGCCCCTTTCTTCTCTCTCTTTCACCTCGCCAAAAAAGCAAGCGATCGAAAAGGTGCAGTCTAGCCAACCACCGCATGCATGGTCATGTACGGCTGTAGCCTCACACCCATCTGCAGCTTGTCTCAAGATACTTTGTACCACAAAGTGCCGTCTGCGCACACAGACGGTTCTTGCGCGAAAACGGAACCTCCATGGAAGTGCCATACTTTCCTACCCTCCCCAGTCAGATACCACCCGTGAAAAATATGTGCTGGTACACGCTGCGCCACGCGGAACCAAGCAAGCGAGAGCTGTTATGAATAGACATGTAAGATAGGCCAACGGTTCATCTGGTGTTTTCTGTTTTTCTCTGCTCGTTGCGCCGAAACGAGGTCTATAGGGCGGAGACAAAGAAGCGCTGCATGAGGCAGTGAGCTCGGTGCTGTTGGCTCAGCTCCGGGAGCAGCAGGAGCCCGGGCTTCCGCTCCGGGAATTTTTTCGACAAGAGGCAACAATTGTTCAACCCGGTAAGAAGCAATACGTTTTCGTTCGGCCCTACAGAGGGGAATGCTTGTTTGTAACCTCATTGCGGGCTGTTTGCAGTTTTGCTCGAGTTGTGCACAGCAGAGAGATACCATGTACATACGTCGCGATCTCGCTTGAGACACCCGATCGATGTGGCAAGTCCTCTTGCAGTCCAGTCACACATAGACTGCCGCTGCGCCACAGCGTTTCACACTATTCATTTATTCATTTCTTATCCCCCCCCCCGTGTTTTAGAGAAGAAGAGCGAGGGAGATATAGGATGGAGGAGAGAGGGATCGAATGTGCGATCTCCGTACCACAGAATGTGTGGGTGGGTTCTGACAACAGAATTGTAGTTGCTGTTTGTTGTGTAGTTGGCAGTGGTGGCGCAGTTTGGGTAGATACAACACAGAGTGATCATTAGATCCAAAACACAGGCGCCCAAGCTGTCTTCACCTGACGGTTACAGACTTGGAGACACGCCTTCACAATACTGCACAAAACCCATGCAGTAGAATAGAGTCAGTTCTTGCATACAAATCCCAACA